CCTATTGGGCTTTTTTTTTCAGGCTTGGGTGGCTAATTTTGAGCGTCCCAGAATGAATGCTAATTCCTTGCTGGCCAGCCCCACAGGCCTGAGCCCTTACTTCCGGTTTGGCTGCCTCTCCTGCAGACTTTTCCATTTCAAACTCACAGACCTCTACAGAAAGGTAAAGGTGAACAGCACTGTCTTACTCTGACTTTTAAGGTATTTTTCATCACTCTGATAACCGATCATAAGATCTTAAGTGGCTGACAAGTTATTCTCATCCTTTTTTTCCTGGCTTTTCAAATGCAGGTCAAGAAAAATAGTGTCCCACCACTGTCCCTTTACGGCCAGCTGCTCTGGCGTGAGTTCTTCTACACGGCTGCCACTAACAACCCACACTTCGACAAAATGGAGTTCAATCCCATCTGCATGCAGATCTCGTGGGACAGGAACCCCGAAGCTCTGGCGAAGTGGTCAGAGGGCCGGACTGGTTTCCCGTGGATTGATGCCATAATGACCCAGTTGAGGCAGGAGGGCTGGATCCACCATCTGGCCAGGCACGCTGTTGCTTGCTTTCTCACACGTGGAGACCTGTGGATCAGCTGGGAAGAGGGCATGAAGGTACTGCAATCATTGTTCTGAATTTCAATAAAATAACTGTTGTTGCTTTCTGTATTAAAATCTATATTGATTTTGTTTGATTTGTTTTTAAAGGTGTTTGAGGAGTTGTTGCTGGATGCAGACTGGAGCGTCAACGCTGGAAGCTGGATGTGGCTTTCGTGCAGCTCATTCTTCCAGCAGTTTTTTCACTGTTACTGTCCGGTTGGCTTTGGTCGACGTACCGACCCAAATGGAGACTATATAAGGTGCCACTCTTAACCCTTGCTGACATCCACAAACATTCAGTTAAATATAAATTACTAGTTTATTTCAATATTGAGACCATTCTCTTTGAATGCTGATTTTATTATTATTATTATTATTATTATTATTACAGACGCTATTTGCCCATATTGAGGGGCTTCCCTGCCAAATTCATCTATGACCCTTATGACCCTTCAGAAAGTGTTCAGAAGATCGCTAAATGCATAATCGGAGTGCACTACCCTAAACCCATGGTTAATCACGCTGAGGCCAGCAGGATAAACATCGAGCGAATGAAGCAGATTTACCAGCAGCTGTCCTGCCATTCTTCCAGCAGTTTTTTCACTGTTACTGTCCGGTTGGCTTTGGTCGACGTACCGACCCAAATGGAGACTATATAAGGTGCCACTCTTAACCCTTGCTGACATCCACAAACATTCAGTTAAATATAAATTACCAGTTTATTTCAATATTGAGACCATTCTCTTTGAATGCTGATTTTATTATTATTATTATTATTATTATTACAGACGCTATTTGCCCATATTGAGGGGCTTCCCTGCCAAATTCATCTATGACCCTTGGAATGCCCCAGAAAGTGTTCAGAAGATCGCTAAATGCATAATTGGAGTGCACTACCCTAAACCCATGGTTAATCACGCTGAGGCCAGCAGGATAAACATCGAGCGAATGAAGCAGATTTACCAGCAGCTGTCCTGCTACCGGGGCCTCGGTAAGAAAATGCAGAGCTTTTTCAAAACCCCAACTCTTAAAAATCTCGTTTAACTTTCTTGTAATGCTTTTCAGGGCTCCTTGCAACTGTTCCATCCAACGCAACCAACAATGGAGATGGTAATGGAGCAGATCCTTCCTCAGGAGACAACACACAGGAGAGCACTCACATTACAGGTATACCGACAAGCACATTTGTCATACATCTTATAATTCATCTCTGGAAATGTCTGATAATGCTGAGAGCTTTTGCTGTAATCTAGGGGTTTCCAAATGTTTTCATCAGCCGAACCCCTTACATGTAAAATATATACTTGAAGTAAATAAGTTTAATGACACATTTATGGTTCTCTGGTTATTGGTCACATAACCAGTAAGAAAATAGAATAAAATGCACTTGTATTGTAAAATATGAGTATCATTATAATGATTTTAAATACATTACAAGTTACAATACTAATATTTATGCCTAAAAATAGTTGATTTTCAAACATTATTAAGCTTTAAACATTTCAAATACTCTGTTTTATTTTGGCTGAAATGCTTGGAAATTTTGGAAATTATGCAAACGTGTAAATAAACTGTGTAAAGAACCCCCGTTTTTGTGAAACCCTGGTCTAATTGATCCAATTTTAGTTATATTGTGCACTTTTATTCATCATGTGTATTGGCAGTTTGGTTCATTTCAGTTATACTTGTGTTGGAATATTTACCCTTCTTTACCAGCAGTGCACCCATCACCAGCAAGTTCTCAACCAAAATTCTCACCATTTACAGTGTCATGTGATCAACTGTCTGTCAACAGTGTACAGCCACAACCAGGTGTGTATTGACACAGATGCATGGATTTTGAAATATAATAAATGCTGCTTACATGTGAGGCTGCTTTATTAAGATGTCTGTCTTTCCGGTCTAGGTTACTCAGGTGTTGGTATGGTTGGACAAGCTCACAAACAGTCACAGAGAGGTGAGTTTTGTTCAAATGGTCTCGGAGGACTCATAGCATATTCTGAACTCAAGCTGTCTCACTGTGGCCTAAAATGTTTTCATTTAATTGAACTACACTATAATTTGTTCTTTGTTGTGATTTGCTTATAACAAGTCAGTGACAGACTAGTTTAAACACACCCGATCTTGCAATGAAAAGAAGGGTTTACCTCATGTTTGTGGAGGATTATATTTTGATGAAAGCACAGACTTTTCAAAATCAGGGCTATTCATCTGTGGACAGTTACGCTACCATTCAAACGTTTGGGGGTGGTAAGATTTTTTTTGTAATGTTTTTGAAAGATAATATTGTGAAATATTATTACAATTTAAAATAACTGTTTTCTGTTGTAATATATTGTAAAATGTAATTTATTCCTGTGATGGAAAAATAAATATTTTGTAACATTATAAATGTCTTTGTCACTTTTGATCAAATTGTGTCCTTGCTGAATAAACATATTAATTTCTTCAAAAAATAAAAATAAAAACATCATACTAACTTTAAACTTTTGAATGGTACTGTACAATTTCCATGCCACTCGAACAATAATTTTGTAAAAAATTACAACCTCACAAGCTGTTTTTGTATTTAGGGAGAGGGACAAGTACTTTGAAGCGGCATAGTGAAGACCGAGCTTCAGATGGTTTGTCGAAGATTCCGAGGCATGACAGTAACTAGCTGCTTCGGAAGCAAGGATATACACACACCTCTCCTCAGACTAGTGTTTGGACCTGTCCTGAACCATAGCTCAAAGGACAATGTCTCCATATCAACTCCTCCATGCTTTGCTTTGCCATGGTGTCATTCTGCTTCTAGAGCTTGAGTTAGCATTGAGGTCAAATGTGGTGGCCCAGGGAACTGTCAACTAAGCTGTTTGACATTGTATAATGTATGTAGTTACAGAATTTAAGATGTCTACATTTTTGCAAGCTGTATGTTGATTAATTGTGGAGGAAAATGTTGTGTAGTATTCACGCAATCCAAATGTCAAACATTGTTTTCTCTTTGAAAGTGTGTGTATCTACCATACCATTTGATGTCCATTTGTGCAATGCTGTTGCAATAACTGTGTTTTACACAATCCTGTGTAATATTAAGAGGAATTTATTTGGAAATTCATATCTTAATAGCGATCATCGGGAGCAAACCGGCCACTAATTGAGAATCTTTAAACTAGTCGCTCTTTGATAAGTCAAACGATTTGATTGATCTAAATGTTCAATTCTAATTTATAAATAGACACATTAAAAGGTCTTTGCAGTCCACAGCAAAAATATGTATATTTAGTCAGATTTTTGCTTTTTATAATGGAGGAATTATCATTGAGACCTGTGGCTCTTAAACACAAGTGGATTTGTTTCAAGACAATTACAGGGAAACAAACCTACTATGTATATAAGCGTATACTGTAAGTAATTCAGTCTGCAAACCACTGTACATAACATTTTTCTTGCTTATTTACAGACTTGCTGTTATATTTTTTATATGAGAGACAATACCTTTTTTAAAAATGTTGTAATGTCTTTATAAATCACCATTAAAACATGATAGACCTGTTACAGTGCTACAGTGATTATGAGAGCATGTTCATCAGTATTCAGTATTATTGAATTTATTTTGATTTTCTTAACATTCATTATCAGTGTTGGCTATTAACAGATGTAGCGAATCAGCTCATGGGGAAATATGAATAATTAATCATAAACCACATGTAATCTGTTTTACACAATCAGATTACTATTACGTTTGTATGAATTACATATTGGTTGCATGACCTGTCAGACGACGTCAATAAATTATTTGTTAATTTATTTGTAATTTTCTAATTGTGACCCTACGTTTTAAAAGGTACATACACAGTAAATACACATGGAAAATATCCCCGAGTAATGCAGTTCTTGCCTTCCAAACATTAATATGACAGTATGCACTACCATTCAAAAGTTTTTAGAATATTTTATAAAGTTATGTTTTATAACGTCTCACCAAGGCATTTTATTTTATCAAAAATACAGTAAAAGCAGAATTATTCTGAAATATTGCTGTCATTTAAAATAATTATCTATTATATCTATTTAAATATATTTTTGTAATTTTTCCTGTGATGGCAAAGCATTACTTCAGGCTCTCCACAAAAGACTCTATTTTACTTGTCAGACTAGTTTACTTCTGTTTAAGGAAAGTTATAATAAAAAGGTGTAGTTGGAATAATGTTACTTTTTTTATTTATCTGGTTCTTTAACCTGTAAACACCATTGATTACAGACAGCCACACCCATGGTGTCACATGGTGACTCAAGCAGATGTTTAAAAGCTCCATAATATAACTGGGGTTGAGGTCGAGAAGGATGCGAACACCTTATCTAAAGCCCAATGGACGACGGTAGTTTGTAACATAAACCAGATAAGCTGTTCTTAGCGAAAGTCGTAAATGATGAACATCGAGGGGGAGGAGATGCGCAAACCAATCCGGCTCATCGCGGCTGCCTGCAGTGACATGGGCATAGGAAAGAACGGACAGCTTCCCTGGAGCCTTCCGTAAGACATACTCAGTTACAATGCTCGCTCAGTCCAGCGATTTTGTCCAGTTGGAATCGTTCTATTTTATAAGTTATGTTAGATATGAATGAATAGTTTGAATCAGTAATCAGATGAATTCATGAACGACGTGACGTGACGAATATTTGATCGGGAACGGTCGACGTACACTTTGGTGTCCAATTCCTTCATTAGCATTCGAGGCATAAACTACCGTAGTTATATAGCAATAACGAGTTTAAAAACATAAAATAGGTGTTTGTCTGATAACAGCGGTCTTGTACCTTCTGGATTGTGTGCAACTATTTAAATCCATGGTACAAGTTACAAGTTTTTGTAAGATTGTTTCTTATTAAGTTAAAGTTTTTGTCTCTCTCTCTCTCTCTGTGTGTGTGTGTCCGCTCACATAAAATTATTTTGATCTTTTTATTTTGAGATTTCATTTTGAAATGTTTATTTTTACCACTTGTCATTTTGAACATTTTCTGCACCTCTTTTTTCTCTCTCTTTCTCCTGGAATATGTCACTGACCTTTAGACCTCTCAAACTGAATGTCAGCAAGTTTTTGAATTAGAGAGATGGAAACTTCGAGCCCCCCAGTGCCCGCCCCGTTTGAGATAAGAGATAACAGCATGTGCAGACAGGGGCTATAGACTATTGGGAATTTCTTTATCTTTCTGGTATATAATATTATGTTGGTATGAGCCTTCTCAGCCATACCTATTAAACAGGATCAATGCATGCAGTGTGATGCAGGATAACCTTGGTTCAACTCTGATTTGGGCACACAACCCTGCTTTTTTGAAAGCTATAAACACATCAAAGATATTTGTCATGCAGCTCAAATTGCATTTTGCACACTTTGTAGTTATCAAAGTTTAATTAATGTGTCAAATGGCGCACAAAATATCTAATGTGCTCATGTTGTTTACAGAAAAGAATTTCAGTTCTTTATGGATACAATTACAGCTGTGTCTGCACCTGGTAAGTGTCTTTAAATTTTATGTTTGGTTTGATTTATATTTTAGTTAAAGAGGTCATATGATGCTTTTTTAAAGATCATTATTTTGTGTTGGGGGCGAATCTGCTGGTTCTCCTGTTCTGAGACGGTCTTCCCTTTGGCCAACTGCATCAATTTGGTATTGAGCAGGAAGCTGACGTATGTTCATTTATAAAAAAATTTATGCAACTGCACTTCCATTCAAAAGTTTAGGGTCAGTAAGATTTTTTTTTTTTAAAGAAATCAACACTTTTGTTCAGCAAGGATGCATTAAACGGATCAAAAGTAAAGACATTTATATGTTACAAAAGATTTATATTTCATATAAATGTTGTAATGTTGTGTATGCTTTGGAACTTTACATGACACGTACAGCAGCCACAATAGCACCGTATAAATGATATACAGTAATAGGCTTATGTTTTATTTGATTTTTTTCCTTTTTATTCGAAATATTTCCAAACGTGTTAACTATATTAGGAAATATATCGATTCTCAAACGTGTAAGTAAATGCGTTTTGCACCAGATTGTTATTTGTGGGTGACAAAGTAGAGTAATAGTGTAATCTATTAACTACACATAAAAACCCGACTTTTTACTTAAGTAGGCCTACCCGATATGGGTGTCATGCCATAAAATATGTTTAATACGACTGACTTTATATTTAATGTGAATTTAATAACAATATTGTAAGTTACTATATAATAACATTTTCATTTTACAGAGAGCAAAGAACATTTAAATTATCAAAGAACATTTTCACTTCAGTCTAGCCAGAGTTCAGGCACTCTCAAAAACTCCCATTT